TGAGGCCGTGATCAATGACAGCGCCCAGGATGTGTCGGCACAAGGAGTCGGGACTCGGTCCCGTGAGCAGCGGGAAGTGTTTCTCTGGGAAGTTTTTGAGTGAAAAGAAACTGTCCCGACGTGGTTAAGAGGTACTGGGCAGGGGGTGGGAAGGGAGGCATGTGGTGTGGGAAGGACCAGGGTGGGGGTGGCCCTGGACATGGAGTTGAGGACTGAGCACACGTGACCGGGGCCCACTCTCAGCTCTGGGGTCGCCAGCCCCCTGGCAGAGCCAGTGCGCTGCGGGTTCCTGAGCCTCCCGATGGCCTGTTCCCGCTTGCTGGACCCGAGGACACAGGGAGAGCCCGTTGCTCTCACAGCGACCGTGTCCTTTCCTGCGGCAGTCTCCCAGCGTGGCCCGGGGAACCCCACTTTGAGCAGGGTTTGAGAATCGGTCGTCCTGCTCAGAGCAGTGGCTGCGGCCGACACCCCCCTGTCGTCAGGGGAACTCGCCTCCCCCCAAAGTTCCCGCATGTCCAGTCTCTTCGCCTGGGAGAAAGAATACGCCCATCGGGTCCAACGTCTCCCTCTCCCGTTGAACGATAGCCTTGGGCAAGCTGTTGGCTCCCTCCTGAGCAAAGGAACAGTTGAGAATTCACTCTCTCATTCTTGCACTGGCTTGGAAGTGGGGCTGGGGCAAATAATTATAGAGGAGGCATTCGGGGGCCTTCTGGCCTGTGCGTGCACACCCCCTCACTCAGTGGGGAGGGAGGGACATGGGGGCAGAGGAAGAGGAGGGTAGTGTCGCTTCCCAGACTGAGAAAGGAGAAGCGGGTCCCACCTCCCCGAGCTGGCAGTCTTCTCCTTACCAGAGGCTGGAATGTGCCGTCCCGGGAGATGGATCTGGCCTGCGCCTGTGTTTGCTTTGGACCACGCGGTGTTTTTTAAAAATTCTGAATTCGTGGCCAACACTGAAAAGTCAAGAGATCTCACATTAAAAACTGGATTTTTGGCAGCCAAACCGCTCGCTCCGGCAACACGGGGCTGGTCGGCCGCCTTAGCGGTCAGGGGAGCTCTGGGGCACGGCTGTGTCCTTGAGACGGGCAGCGCCACTCGTAAGGTCCCCTGTGGCCGGGCCTCCCTCGTTTCCCCACCCAACTGGCACACGAGCGTACGAGCCCTGGATCGAAGTCGGATCAGACTGGGCAGCTGACACATTCGGGGTGTGCGGGGCCAGCTCAGTGTTGACCCAACACAGAAGTGAACCGAGGGAGAAAGGACGTGAGGGGAGCTGGAGCAAAGGGAGGTCGTGCGGCTGGCCAGACCGTGATGCTGAGGGTACGAGGCTGGCTGTCTTATGGGCAACTCTTACTCTTCTATCATAAATGGACGAGTCCACGGTCAAAAGGAGGCCCCCCCTGCAGACCGGGTGGCGAAGCACTGTGTAGGACGCCCCATCGGAACCTCCGAATTGGGCCTCGTCTCCAGCTCCCACTAGCTGTGAACTCACAGACTCTGGAGATTTGCAGCAGGGAGGTTCATTTCCTCTTCTATGCACCCCTGCGAAAAACAAAAAAAAAGACAAAAATTCCAGCACGAGTGTCGGCATTCGTATATCAAGACTGATTGGCCTCTGCTTGCTTTGATAAAGGGGCTCAGGACCCCAACTTCATTATCACCAAGAAAACTGACCTTCAGACTCGCTTGTTTGAACAGATGGTACGTCCAAAGTTTGTGGTTGGGTTGAAAAACGGTTTTCTGTGTTCGTCCTTCAAGTTCATGGTCATTGCCCATCACCACCTGCGAGTACTCTGTGCTCAGCGTAGCTGAGAGAGCGTAAATCCTGCTTGCTTCGAACACAACCCGGGGTTCACGTGCGTTCCTGTTCTGGCCAATGCTAATCGGCACCTCCCTGTCCTTCCCTCTCCTGCCTGTGAGTCCGGAGGCCCTAGTGTTAGTCGCGACAAGAGCGGTGATTGGTAAGGACGAGCTGCTGCCTTCACAGGTCACTCTGTGCCTCGGGGTCGAGCTGAGCCGAGAGGCTGGAGAAAGCTAACGTTACACAGGCATGAGTTGCTTTAGCTCAACCTTTTTTGCACGAAGCTTCTGAGTCTGAATGTTTAAATCTAGATTCTGCACCTTCCCCGGCAGTTATAGGGACAGCTGGGATATGAGACCAAAGGGGAGGATAATTACCCATTTTATGAGAATGTTCTTTCCTGGACTCAAAAATGTATCTTTAGAACCTCAAGAATTTGAAACAACAATAGTTTCTCAATGGTATCATCTTGGGATTCAGATAATTTAAAAATACCTTAGCCCTCTTCATTGATGAGTCAGCAGAATGAGATGCCACTTTCTTTCACGAGGATATGCTATGTCCCCTCCAAGAAAGCCAGGGCTTGTGCCTTTGCCAGCCATATGTCCAACTGAAATATTAATTTCCTGCTCTGGCAGGGCACATGGTCAAGGGCACTGCTGGCCACGGCCCTGGAAAAGACTGTTTCCAGACCAACTAAATAGTGTAGGAACTTCCTTCCAGGCCTTGCTAACCAGACACTGCCAGCTTGCATGGAAGTGTTCCATTCACATATTTATGAGTTTGGAGCTGCCTAAATGCATGCTGGCTTTCATTTTTTCCATCACACAGTGTTTCTTCCGGTTTTTTAGTTTCCCATATCAACCACTTTACTATTTTTGAGCAGAATAATTCCAAGCCAACGTAGCTAATCAGTACAGTAAAACCTCACCAATTCAAGCAGGGAGCTTGAACTCTTCCAGCGAGGACAAGCACTAGCCGTGCAAGTTGGAGGCCTGTTTCCTCTTCTAGAAATGAGGACTGAAGGTTGTGTAACCAAAGTCCTTTTCTACTAATATTAAAACCACATTTCATCTAACCTAAGATGCCGTTGATTACAAGAAACATCATATTTCACGTACCAGCAAGAAAAGAACACTTCAAAATGGGCCACCAGTTAAACAATCCCAAAACACCTTTAAAGATACACCCATGATGTATAGATTGGTCACACCAGTCCCCTTGTGGCTTTGAAATCCATTTAGACAACGTTGGCAACTTCCGCTGTCCTTGGTTGTGCTGCTTGGCGTGAAATAGGCAAGCCTTTTGAATGTTCTCAGCAACGAAACGTAACAGCACTTTTCATTTCCCTTAGTGGATATCTTTCTTTCCGAGCAAATAAAACATTTGTTTGTCTCTTCGCAAGAGAATTTGGAACTGTGATTCTCTGCTAACCATAAATATTTGCTTCGTCGATATCAAATTTACGCCCTGCTGCTCTGTTTTTGAAGCTTATACTGTAACTTTTCATTTTAGTGTTGAATCATTATGTAATCTTTTCTAAGACATTTAAATGGCAGTCGGACTCAATGGTGTAGTATCAAGTGTATATACAACTCAATGAAAATGACAGGGACGCCTGCGACTGCCATGTTCGTGCAATGGTGTCTGCATTGTAACTGCCACTCGGCAACAGAAACCATCCAACCCCATCGATCACAGACGCATCCTGATCTCAGACACTTTAAAGTATGACGAAATGAGCATCTTAGAATGAATTGCAGAAATAGCTATAATCTCGTGAGAACTGACAATATCTGGCAAAGTACTAAACCCTTGATAAGAATTAATGTCAGTCAAATCTCACGGTAATCCAAAAAGTATGTGCAGATTAGGAAGTTTAGCCAGATGAGTAAAATTTCCCCAGATCACCCAGATAGGTAAATTTCAGAGTGAGGATTCAGACCCGGATAATAGGATCTTCCACCCTGCCCGTTCTGTGGTTCTACGGGCAGTATAAATCATATGTGCGTATCAACTGTAGACAGGTATTCGATTCTGTTTACTTTCAAAAACATCAAGCGTCACTCAGATGGGTTATTTGAGCCTTCAATGGGTTGTTTAAAATAGCTCAATCATATAGGGTTTTCTAAGAATTTATAATTGGTGCATCCATTATATGCAAATAGCCACTTTTTACAGGGGCTTATTGGTATGATTTCTGCCTTCACAACAGTTTTGGAGGCTGGCATGGCTACCTGTAGCTATCCTTACCACGGTGCAATCAGTTAAATTATCATCACCATTTCCTGACCAAAACCTAGCCTATGAGCTGAAACAACTTGCTCAGTGGCAATGGAAGTAGAGTACGTTCATGGGAAAATATGAACCTGGATTGGCTCAAACCTTGGTCTCCTGAGCTTTGGGTATGTTCTTTTTCTACTTCTCTCTATTGCACCAATAACTTGCCTTTCACACAGAGTTTGGTTGTTGTTTTGCTTTGTAACATGGATGGTGAACAGATAGAGACAAATATGTTTTTGTGGAAAACCATAAAAGTTGTTTTACTCTCCCAATGCTGGAAGATATGACAATGAATGACATTTTTCAGGGCACGGGAGCCCCCAGCCTCTGGCCTTGGCCTCTCTGAGGCACAAGAGGGAGGCCCTTTCAGACCAGCCCAGAGGCAGAGCATGGAAGCCACCAAACTGGCCTCTAGAGGACAGCAAGGCCGAGTCAAGTCCCGTGGCTTCGTGGCGAGGGTGATTCTGTTTCCACGGACAATTAAATATGGAATCTGGGAGGAGCTTCATATTTATTTTCACTGCTGTGGGAGCAAAACCCAAAAGACAGGAGTGAGAGTGTGACTAAGGGCTTTCACGATCGAAATAAACACCAGCAGGAAAGAATTACCCAACAGTTGAAGATGACCAGCCTCAATCCCTAGTCTTGTAGACACCATGACAACCTTCGTAAATTCACATTCCAGAAAATTCCAGCGTAGAGATTGCTTTAAGAGAATGCAATGGGCATCTTTTAAAAGTTGCCTCCGATCGTTTATTCGTTTGGTTGGCAAGTGTATAGTGAGTACCCCCGTGTGAAAAGGGAGGGGAACGTAGGGACGAGCAAATCAAGTCCTGAGTCTAACAAGTACAGTAAACGACTGTCTGAACAATCCGGCAAAGCCCAAGACTTTCTAACGTCCGTGCTGGTTTTGTCGTAGCTGTAAAGGTGCCTCCCACTATGGCCTGACGGAAGACAGGAAGAGGCGCTCGCAAGATGGCTGTGCAGACGGCTGTGTGAGCCTCACGGCGACGGCACTCTCCCCGGAGATTTCTGCAGCTGCCACCATCTCCTTAATGACGGACGAGCCTGGCCTGGACAACCCTGCCTACGTGTCCACGGCGGAGGACGGCCAGCCAGCGCACAGCCCGTCCGACTCTGGCCGGAGCAACCGAACTAGGGGTGAGTCAAATGGGTGTTTGCCCGGGAATGGGCTCCTTGCCTTGGGATTGCTCCCTGCGGAATACTTACTGTGGAAAGTTCTAGAAATGTTTTTTAAGGAGAAATCGTTCTGGTAGTTTTGGCGGCAGCCCAATGTCCAATTCTCCAAAGTGAAATGAAACCACAAGTACCTCAGATCGTTAAAACTGTGTATAATCTGACTTGGTGACAGGGGTTGGAACCAGACGTCATGATTCATCGCTCCGGCAGTGTCAGTAACTTCCCAGCCATACTGCTCAGGAAAAGTGCTATTATGTTCAGCTCAGCCCAGAAAAAAAGAAAAGCAGACTTTTAAAACAAGCTATACATATTTCACTGTAGAAAACTTAGAAAATATAGGTGAGCAAATTCTATAATCCTACCACCTAGAGGTAATCGCTGTTAACGTTTTATTATATGTCTTTACCTAAAAGATGATTTCTATTAACATATAGCTACTGTACCTTGTCTCTTTTTCTCAGCACGACCCTTTGAGCGATCCACTATCAGAAGTAGATCTTTTAAAAAAATAAATCGAGCTTTGAGTGTTCTTCGAAGGACGAAGAGTGGGAGTACAGTTGCCAACCAAGCTGACCAGAGCAGGGAAAATTCTCAAAATACTACCACCCCTGAAGGTAAATGAACTCCACCATGGGGCCGCATGTGGGCTGGGCTTCTGGGGTGACCTCAGGGGTGATGACAACTTGGCCACCAAACACCTTCTACGACCCCTTTCTTCCCAAGGATATAAAATACATATTTTTTATCTTGATTAGCCTAATTCTCTTGTAAGTAACTAAAAACATAAATACTTTCTATATTGATTGAGGGGAAAAGGTGTTAGAACCCTTCTTGTGCTAGTGTTGTGCATATCAAGAAGAATAATTACAGTTAATGAGTGAGAAGCATTTAAAACAATGCCCAGCACATAGTAAATGCTATGTAAGTGTTTACTCTTATTCCAGCTGTGTTTCAGGAGTGATGCTGAGTGTTTTACATGCATTTCCTCATTTAAACCTCAACAACCCCATGAAGTAGCTACTGTTATTATCCCTGTTTCACAGATAAGGAAATGGAAGCACAGAGCGTTGCTTACCTTGTTCCAAATTACCTTGCTAAACTTTGAATCCAGGTAGTGTGGCTCTAGAATTCATGCAAAGAACGTTATTGGATCTTAGATCCTATATGCTTTCTCCAGTATGAATGCAGCTGAGGAAATATTGTCCACTCCTTTCTTTTCATTTTATATTAGAACTTTAGAATTATGTATTAGAACTTTAGAGGAGGAGGAGTAATATTTTTTTTTTTTTAATTGAGCTGTTCCCATGTGCGGGTACTGCTCTAAGTCATTTAGATGCCACAAGAGTGCTAAGGGATGAGAATTATCGTTCCCATTTCTCCCATTGAGAAAACTGAGACCCAAAGGGATTGGGTAACTAGCCCAGTCACCCAGCTAGAAAATGGCAGAACTAAGATTTTAACTGAGATCTTCTGGCTGCAGAGCCCACTGTCTTAACCACTGGATTATACTGCCCTTTACTCTTGTGGGGTGGGAGGTAGAGCTCCAACTACCGTATTTATTATACCTTCAAAAATTCATGCGCAGTCTCATAAGACCCCTTCTTGCTTACTCACGATCACCTCTCCCCCCGCACACACACACTGCGTGCTGTAACTACTCTGAACCTACTACAGTCCTGTAAATACTGTCTCTCACCTCCCTGCTCTTGTCCAACCTGCACGCCCACTCGCCTTCCAGCTGGCATTCCGATCCCTCCTTCCAGGTTCAGCATAGGCTGTGCCTCCTCCTGGAAGCCCTCCCTGACTCCCTCAGCCACCCTTCCTTCGTGTTCTCAAAGCACCTGTAACCTGTCTTACTAATGATCACCTTTCATTGTAACTGTACCTGTAAGGAGGGCAGACACACTTTTTCTGAATCTTTGTTCTCAAGGCTTAACACGATATCTGGCACGTAATAGCGTTCACTGAACATTTACGCAATGACTGCATGAAAGGATTATGACTTCCTTTCTGCCGGTCTCTTCCTCTTGTTAAAGACTCCTTAATTCCACTCCTTGTAAAGTATTCTACTACTTGAATAAGATTTATTTGCATATTTATTGCGTAAACATTTTAAAGAGAGGTTATTATGTGTAAAGCACTGGCCTAGGCACTGTCATTTTATGTAAAGGTCATAAAATCCAGTTGCTGGCATCGAGGGATTCATTCAAGACTGAAAGAAAAGAAAATACAGGCAGGCATGCCTCATTTTATTTTCACAGATTGAAGGTTTGTGGCAGGGGGTGTTGACTGTGTGTTGGAAAGTGGCAGGAGAGGAGGTTAAGGCCAGAGGAGAAGGGTCTTGAATGCCATTTTGGAGTTGGTACTTGATTTGGGGGCGGGGAACACACCGGAAGGCTCTTGTGTCGCGCTGTTGTGGGATTGGAACCTGTTTCCGGAAGATGAAGGTAGCGGCCTTGTCGTGTGTGCAGGGGGGTGGAGTGGGAGAGAAGGAATTTCCTCAGACACATCAGGAGGCAAACTCTCGAGCGGGTGAGGTGTTAAGACTCAGCTAGGCTGGTATCGACGTCTTTGCAGGATTTGTGAGGCAGCAAAGCTTTCAGAAATGGCCTCAGGGTCTCATTGCTTCAGCACCCTGCAGTTAGTCTGGTGAACTCTTCCGGGCATGGTGTATCCGTCTATGTCGGCAGAGAGGCTGGGCCCACCGTTCATCAGCTGCGTGACCTGGCTGGGTTACTTCACTGCTCTCAGCTTCAGAGTTTCTTCATCTAAAAACATGGGGATATTAATAATCCACTTCATAGGGTTACTGTGAGGACTAAACAAAAAACACATTCAAATTGCTCAGTGCAATGCCCAGCATATAATAAAGTCTCGGTAAATAATAGTAATTGTTATATCCTTTAGTTCTTGGGTGAGGACACAATATTGAACAAATTTTTTTCTTTTTAGACCGATACAAGCTTGACAGTTTAAAAATTGCTTTAATTCTCCAAAGTTACTAGAATTTCATTGGTGTTGCTCTAATTAACATCATTTACAGGTGTGAGTAGGTATTATCCTTTCGAGTATCAAACATCCTTGAGTAGTTTAGGTTTGGGAGCAGTTTTTATAAATCTGTTGGGAGAGAGGTGGGGAGGGAAAATCGGCTTTCATGATTATTTCCAAATCTTTCTTTGTTCAAAATGATTTAAAAAATTTCCACCTGGGCTCAATGTCTCAGGCCTCTAATCCTAACACTCTGGGAGGCCAAGGCGGGAGGATCGCTTGAGGTCAGGAGTTCAAGACCAGCCTGAGCAAGAGTGAGACCCTGTCTCTGCTAAAAACAGAAAAATTTGCCAGGTGTTGTTGGGCGTGTCTGTAGTCCCAGCTACTCGGGAGGCTGAGGCGGGAAGATCACTTGAGCTGAGGAATTTGAGGTTGCTGTGAGCTATGATGATACCACCACACTCTACCCAGGGAGACAGAGTGAGACTCTGTCTCAAAAAGAAAAGAATAAAAATTTCCATTCCCTTGTTAATACCAGACATGTTCCAACAAACGCCTGTGTGTAGCCTACTTAATGTAATCAAGGTAGTTTAAACATTGATTGAACTCAATCAAGTACCGTTAGCACCAGGAACTGACCAATTAAGACAGCTACCCACTGCCTTACAGCAAAGCCAATCACTTATATTAAATTAAATCCAAATGAAGGTTAAGGACCCACTCTGACAATGTCTCAGTCTTCCTCTGGCCATTCAATTACTTTGTTAACCATGCTCTACAATACTTAGAAATCATTTTCCTTCTTTATCATTCCTAGAGAGTTGAGGACTCATTAGTTCATCAGGAAAAATGAGCTCAGGTCATGGGTTTTGAAAATAGTCACAAAGGGTAGATTATACAGAACCAGGCCTGCAGTGTTTGATCTTTCCAGATGACATAATTACATGAGACTCTCGGGGCAGAGGCAGCCGCCAGCAGCTACAGGAGACAGAAGCATCGCGGCCTTCCACATCCGAACTCGAGCCTGAAACCGCTCGGAGGAGCCACTTTTTCTACTGCAGTAGGTGTGGCTCGTTCCCATGGCTTGTCCCTGCCCTCTGGACCTTCTGTTCGGACGGAAGCGGAGGAGCAGTGACGGTTGGTGCTGCCAGCTTGTAGGTCCATAGGGCACGCCCCTCGTGGACTGTCGCCTGGCTCCAGGGACCAGAGTGATGGGCACCCGGAGCCCCGGGTTCTGACCTGGCTCTCAGGACCACCTGGCTCTGCGATGTCCAGCCAGTTACTTCACTCTCCCCCGCTCAGCTGAAATGTCCTCACTTATGAAATGAAGACCTGTCACTGTCAAGCTACACAGCAGCTAGAGCAGCTCCTCTTCGCTATGTGGTCACAGTGGGGTGGGAGGTGAGAGGGAACTGCAAAAGATTTCATGGAGAAAGCAGATTCCTCAGTCAAAAAATAGTTTGAGGCCGGGCGCGGTGGCTCACGCCTGTAATCCTGGCACTCTGGGAGGCCGAGGCGGGCGGATTGTTTGAGCTCAGGAGTTCGAGACCAGCCTGAGCAAGAGCGAGACCCCGTCTCTACTAAAAATAGAAAGAAATTAATTGGACAACTAAAAATATACAGAAAAAATTAGCCGGGCACAGTGGTGCACGCCTGTAGTCCCAGCTACTCAGGAGGCTGAGGCAGGAGGATCTCTTGAGCCCAGGAGTTTGAGGTTGCTGTGAGCTAGGCTGACGCCACGGCACTCACTCTAGCCAGGGCAACAGAGCCAGACTCTGTCTCAAAAAAAAAAAAAAAAAATAGTTTGAAAGCACCAGCCTAGATGATCTTCGAATCCCCTTGTAGCTCTGAATTCGGTGATTCGGGCAGCTCAGGGACAAACCTCCTGAAGCCACCAGCGAGGCGCTGACCTCTTCCTGATCGTGAATCGGATCTCTTAGCCTCCCTTTATTGACAACAGCCTCTTGTAGAGGGAACTGATAATTCCCCAAGCCTGAAAAGCAGGGTCTTTAAGGAAGAAATTTTCAAAATGATCTGAGAGAGTAGAAGAACGAGCAGTTTGGTTCTGTTTTTGTATCTCAATAAGCAAATGATGAAACTGCAGTTCACTCCGTAAAGACTATTTATTCATTCCCATTCACGGAATAAACATCAGCTGGAAGCCCCTGTGTGCAGAACCACAGAGCAGCCGGAAGTTATGCCCTGAAAGGTTGTACAGTCCGACGTGGGGTATAAGAAGTAGGCACGAATAACAGTAACAGAAGGTTGGGTTGCCGTGAGAAATGGCGAGAAAGCTGTATAGGAAGTGGGATGTTTGGACGGAGCAAGGGAAAGAGAAAGGGGATCAGGGTAGAGTTTAATTGGAAGGGATTATTACATGCAGGCCTTGCAGGAAAATTTGGGTTTAGGCCCAGGACGAAAAACATTCCAGGCAGAGATACTTACACTGGCACGGAGGCAGGAAAGTAGAAAACATGCGTGAGGAACAATGAATAGTTTAGTTTGGCTGGAGCCAAAGTTTGGCAAGAAGAAGAGTGGTTGGAAATGTGCACCGGGTGGGTGTCTTAAATAAATACTGTCTTTCTCCATTCCAGTCTTCCCAAGGTTGTATCACCTGATTCCAGATGGCGAAATTACCAGCATCAGGATCCGACGGGTCGATCCCAATGAAAGTCTCTCCATTAGGCTCGTGGGAGGCAGTGAGACCCCACTGGTCCACATCGTCATCCAACACATTTATCGTGACGGGGCGGTTGCCAGAGACGGCCGGCTCCTGCCAGGAGACATCATCCTGAAGGTAGACGCCGCGGCCGTGCGGCTGGGGCAAGGGACTTGATATGAAACCCTTTGGAGCAAATAAGCGATGGATGGATGAAGGAATGAGGGAAAATAAATATGGACAGTCACTTTTCATAGTTGTTATGTTGTTAGGACTCTTCATATGGGATTTGTGATTCAATTGAAATAGATCTTCGTCTCTTTCTTGCTCTTTCCCTCTCTTCTCCTTTCTCTCTGTTATAAACCTTTGTCTCCTCCTCTCCCTTCTTCCTTCTAGCTTTTTTCATCTTCTTCCCCCTCTTCTTCATTGCCTCTTTCTTCTCCTTTCTCCTGCTTTTTATCTCTCCTCCTCTAAGCAACACGAAAATAAAATAAAACTGGAGCATATGTTTTCTTAAATTGTTTTTAGAGCAGATGAGTGGAACATTTTGTATTTTATCCAATCACATTCACAGACCTTTCTAAAGCAAATTTCCTAGGGTTTAACGGCCCTCCAAGAAAATAAAAATAATTGCTCAGCTATTTCCACCAACCCAGAGACATTCCGGGGGAGACAGGTGGTGGAGCAGAATGCTTGGGCGTTGCTGTCCTCTGAGGCTTGGTGGAAGGGGAGGACTTTAAGGAGGAATTTTCAGAGCAAAAAAGGAGGAAGGAAGAGTTGTTTATCAGACAGAAGTGAAACGTGTGCCAAAAGTGACAAGAACTCCCTCCCTGCTCGTATATTTCCCAGCTGATGGGCAGATAACAGTTTTATCCCCTCCCCTCTAGGCTGCTCAGGGACCAGCTCCTGTCACATCCTGCGCTGTTTCTTTGGCAAACTGATTGGAATAAGGAGAAATAATTGAAAGCAGTTTTTGCAGAAATGCCGAAATTCCCGCCGGTCTCAGAGGTGGAGTCCGAGGCAGGGCCCTCGGGGACAGTCAGGGTATGATCAGCGACGCTGTGCACATCTTCTAGCTCTAGTGGAAACTGCTGCCTGGGAGGGCTGCATAACAAAACGTTCTGATTCTTGTGGCCATCTGCTGGCACTTCCAGGCAAAAGGGCTGCCAGGAGTGTTTAGCCGGCAGCCCTCACCTTCTCTTGTCCTGGGTGCGATGGGGGAACCAGGCCCTGCCACCTTGGGTGCTCTGCTCACCTGAGCTTGGCCAAGAGTGGTGAGCTTTGTCTTTGCATGAGGAACCTCCATCCTTCCTAGACGTGCAGCAGAGAACAGGCGATTGTGTACTCAGGGAAGGCCTTTGTAGGTGCATTCCGAGCCTTCTTTAACCATCGGCTGCAAATACAAGAAATCTTCTGAAACTGCAGAAATTCAAGGTCGTTTCTCCTCCACAGGGCTTCCCTCCTGCAGCACAGAGTGCAGCGCTTGCTGTGCAATTGTTTCCTTCCAGCACGGTGACTACCTTGGGGGCTGCAACCTCCGGGCTGGGCCTGCATCGCTGGAGTAATTAAAACCGGAAAGCCGAGTGCGGCATTAGACCTGCAGATCGTTAGTGAGGCGCAAACGAGAGGGCCAAACTTAAGGGTGTCTAAGTAGCATTATAAAATGATTCAGCCTTTCAGTAAAAGAGCCTGGAAACTTCCTTTCACATCAGTTTGTTTGAAACTGTGCAAGGATTTTTTTCTCTTCTGTTGAGAACATGGGCAAGAGGCCTTGTAGGTGACCACCTCGAGACCTGACACAATGTCACCCACATTTCACACACACTCATAGACATGATCACACATGTGCATCCTCTCTCTCATACACACAAACACACACACACAGTGGTGAGGATTACAAGTTCTCATATGGGCAGCCCAGGAAGAAAGGCTTTGCTGGAGATTTTTGGAAAGAAAATGTCAACTCAGCTTGGTTTGAACAGCTGTTTAATCATTTGACTTAGTCACACGAGAAAAATTCTTTTCTTCTCTTGCTTTTTCCTACCTTTCTTCCTTCCCTCTACTCCTACCAGCTAAAAAATAAGTTTGGCAGGCAACAGGATTCTGTTGGTCAGGATTCTGTAAATAAATCTGTAGCCCTGCGGAAGAACAAGGATGGTGTCCACTCATAGAGGCCTGAAGAGGTGGTTCAGGTAACGCTAAGAAAGCAGGCTGGTAGCTCTCTGGGAGGCCGAGGCGGGTGGATTGTTTGAGCTCAGGAGTTTGAGACCAGCCTGAGCAAGAGCGAGACCCCGTCTCTACTAAAAATAGAAAGAAATTAATCGGACAACTAAAACTATATAGAAAAAATTAGCCGGGCATGGTGGCTCATGCCTGTAGTCCCAGCTACTCGGGAGGCTGAGGCAGGAGGATCGCTTGAGCCCAGGAGTTTGAGGTTGCTGTGAGCTAGGCTGATGCCACGGCACTCTAGCCGGGACAACACAGTGAGACTCTGTCTCAAAAAAAAAAAAAAAGCAGGCTGGAAGTACCCTTGGAAGAGGGGACATGGGACACAGGATGAGATGCGAGCAGAGCAGGCTTTATTCTGTGAGCCTGGGCCCCTCAGGTTGGGTTGTGGCAGGTGGAGCTTGACCACACGATGGCTTCCCTCCCCAGGTCCATGGGATGGACATCAGCAACGTCCCCCACAACTACGCCCTGCGCCTGCTGCGGCAGCCCTGCCAGGTGCTGCGGTTGACCGTGCTGCGCGAGCAGAAGTTCCGGAGCAGGAACCACGGACAGGCACTGGATACCTACGGACCCCGGGATGACAGTTTCCACGTGATTCTCAACAAGAGTAGCCCCGAGGAGCAGCTGGGAATAAAACTGGTGCGCAGGGCGGATGAGCCCGGGGTGTTCGTCTTCAACGTGCTGGACGGCGGCGTGGCAGACCGACACGGGCAGCTGGAGGAGAACGATCGCGTGTTGGCCATCAACGGCCATGACCTCCGACACGGCAGCCCAGAGAGCGCGGCTCATCTGATTCAGGTGGGTCACGGGTCATTCCGAGATTCTAGTGAGAAACCCCTGACAGGCGCGGGAACGCACGTCACCCTGACCCGACCTCCCCGGTACTACCACACGTGACAGGCAGTGCCTCCTGTTCAAGGAGTCAGCATGGAAGGGCCAGCGTTTTCAAAGCTTCTGCCAGGTAAGAACGTTACGCAAATCACGTGTCGGTCACGGACATTGTCTAGGTATTGCCTGACTGCAGGTAAACACGTTGGGTTACGTGCTCAGCCTCACAAGGTTAAGATCACCTATGGTCAGCAGGGTTGTGTCATTTCTGTACCCGGTCTGTTAGACGCAGCTCCAGGGGTCGTTCAGATGCATGCCGGGAACATCCAAGACACCCGGTTGTATTAACTCCGGTAAGAAGCTATGCCTTGTGCCCTTGAGAGACACTATGGCCAAAGACTTGTGTAGGGATGAACCTCAGAGGAAGCTCTCGGTAAGAGGCTCCAATAGACCTCATGATAACCTGACAGTGGTTCAAACTAATCCACTTTCTGCACAGTATGATGTCATCGAGCCCCAGCGTGCATCTCGTTGACTTTGGCTGGGTCACCGTGAAATCTCCTTTTTCCTTTCTTTTTTTAATTAAACTTTTTATTTTGAGATAATTGTAGATTAACATAGTTGTTAGAAACAACACAGAGAGATCCCAGATACCCATTGTTATCTTTTTACCGCATTAACCTCTTACAAAACTATAGTGCAATATTACGACCAGGCCATCGACACCGGCAAGTGACGGAATATCTCCGTCACCGCAAAGATTTCTGTGAAAGTTGCCATACTATAGCCACATCCACTTCCTTCCCACCTCGCCTCCTCCTTAACCCTTGGCAACCACTCATCCGTTCTTCGTTTCTGTAATTTTGAATTTCAAGAATGTTATATAAATGGAATCGTAAGTATATAGGTTTGGGGGATTGGCTTTTTTTACGTGGTATAATTCTCTAATGGTTGTGTATCTCAGTAATGCTTCAGGAACTGCCAGCTGTATTCGTAGAGGGACAGACTTTGTTCTAGGCTCTGGCGTTCTAGCCCATTCATTCACTTCAATTAGCAAACACGTATGAAGTTTCCACTGCTTACGTGGCCCTGCGTTAGGTGCAGAGAACAGAGATGACGACCCCTTAGATTGCTCTCCCAAGGGGGAGTCCACAATCCAACAGGAAAGATGGGCTTTTTCTAAACGACTGCCATGTGGTGTGACAGTCCTGCAGTGGAGAAGTTAAGTATGGTGCTGGTGTAGACGCAAGAGAGACTTTTTGCTTGGATGGGTCTGTGAATTCTTCACTAGGGAGGAAGATCTTGAAGTCGGGCTTTGAGGAATGAGCTAAAGTTCTCTAGGCAGACAAGGCAGCAAGGGTCATTCTCAGGAGAACATTTCACTGCTAGACTGTTAGGGAAAATGGTTAATTGCTGGAACACAGGGTGCATATAAGAAAGCACCCCATGGCTAAGGCAAGAGTGGTTGGTAGATCATGTAGCGTATTGTCAACCACACCAAGGAGCTCAGAATTTATCCCCAAAGCGTGGGGTGTCATTGGAAGGGTTTAGGAAAGGAAGTGACATGAGCTTCTAGAAAGATCTCTAAAAGCAGTTGGAGAGCTAACGGGAGAGGGGCAAGAATCGAGGCCTTGTCTTAAGAAGCATTTGCATTTATCCCACACGTGTGGGCTTCCACTTAGTGACTGAAGTCTTGCTACTTTGAAAATAGACAATGAGTCTGCAGCAGTGACCGACTGCACACTGTACCAGGTTCCATGGAGAATAATAATCAAAAGACAGAGCAGCCCTCAAGGACTTGATCATCTAAATACAAATGAAGCTCCCTCCCCTTGGGGTCCAATCATGCAGTTATTACTGGTGCTGGCAGCTCTTCTCACTGTCTTGTGTAGTAGCTCATCCCTTTTCTTGGAGGAGGACCGGTGACGAGTGGTATTACTGTCATTGCAGACGTGGCAGCCTGAGGTGAGGGGCTTGGGGGTCTTGCTCTGCTCCCTCTCCCCTTCAGGGCAGGAAGCACATGTGGCACCTTGGTTCCCGAGGCATTGCTCTTGGTGGCATCCCAATTCCAAGGTGCCTCTCAGTCCCCACGGATGTTATCTGTTCAAGAGGGCCCACACTCGAGCCCTGTGGAGCAGGTAGAGAACAAAACCAGAGTAGCAAGGGGCATTTCCTTTCTGGGGCGTATGTCATCTGTTTCCCAAGTTCATGCGCCCAGCCCCAGCTTCTCCTGTGACCACCCCACTTACGTATTTAACTGCCTACTTTGGTATCTCCCTGAGCACGTCTCAAAGGCATCTCAAACTTAACGTCCAAAACCGAGTCCTTGGCTTCTCCCCACTCCAAATCTACCGCTTGCCAGCTTGCTGTCCCCTTGGTCGTTCCCAGTCTCTAGACATGGCACCACCATTTGTGCAGTGACTTGGTCCAAACCAAGTCTTGACTCTCCTTCCCCAACCCCTTTCTCACCACCTCCATGGCGGCCATCAGCCAGGCCAGCGGCAGCTTCCGTCTAGGCCACTGTCAGAGCCTCCTCCTGGCCTCCTTGCTCTCGCGCTCAATCATCTCCCTTCTGCTGTCCACGCAGCAGTGGGAACGACCCCTTTACAAAGCCAGTCAGCCACACCACTCTCTTACCCTCGGCTCTCTGAGGCTTCTCAAGACACGTAGATTAAAATTCCAAATCTTTACCGTGGCCTGCAGCGCCATACATAATCTGGCCTTTGGTTACCGCTCCAACTTCATTTCCTAATGGGGAGAATTTCCAGTATTCTCCCCTTAACCAGCCGGTCACATTGCCTTCTTGCTACGCTTCCAACATTTCAAGAACTTTTCCAGCTCAGGGCTGACATTGTTGCTGTTCCTCTGCTTGGAAGAATCTTCCAAATATCGACGTTCATTTCCACAGTTCACTCAGGCCTCTCCTCAATTGTCACTTCCTCAGAGAGGCCTTCACTGACTGTCCTACTGAGAACAATGTATGCACACACATGCTATACCCTTTAATCTGCTTCGTTTTTTATTCTGCCAACTAATTATTTTGTCATTACCTGCCACTCTAGTATAGTAGAGGATTGCGTCCAAGCACTTAGGACAGTGCCTGGCGATAGTAGCCACTCAAATATTTGTTGAATGAATAAATGGAATCAAATTATAAACGTAAATATATATAAAATACATTTTACATATTAACTTCATTTCATCATTATTTGTTATCAAACCATATACCAGAGAAGCACCAAATCTACTTTTATGTGCTATTTGTCCCCAAGATGTCATCTCTACTCTTTGTCCCCTTGAATTTGTCCAGCAATTATTGGTTGAGTAGCTTCTTCGTGCCAAGAGGTATGAAGAACGATGGTGAACAAGACCGATAGTCCCTGTTTCTTAGAGTTTGGAAAGTATTCCTGTCTTTGATCTCGAATGCAACCGAGTCAGCGTTAAGAAGGTGGTTCTAGCCTATGTGTGCCAATGGGTGAGAACAGAAAAGAGCTCGCGTTTATGAAAACGTTTACACATGGAAAAGGAAAGAGTCTAGTTTTTTTT